GCAGGGCACCAGAGGCAGAAGATAAGGTTAAGGCACACACATAACTAGTATTAGTAACATCAAAGACTGAACTGACATCAAATTATCAGTAGGGGAAGCACACTCTGACTGATACATCTATAGAACTGATTAAATCGGTTAATTCGTGTGAAGGTTGTTGTTGCGAACGGGTTTTAGAGTTTGCGGGTGAAACTAGAACCAAAACAGAGGGTTGTAAACTGAACCCTAAGACATGTTCAGGGGGGTAATCTGGACTCCCATCTACATCTGTAGAATGATAACCAAAACACGGCAGATTTCCCAAAAATGCAACATATACAGCATTGGGTGATTTATTATTAACTCTTAAATGACGGCTTTACTAACACTATTGCACTGTACACAGACTTCTCTATCTAGGAACTGCATGCTAAGAGCAGTTCCAATGCTCCACCATCAGCAATATCTTGATGATGCCACATAGGATTGAATCTGCTGTGGAAGGTTAAAGAAGAGAGAGATGTAAAGACACGACTAAAATGGAAAACCAATGCATATGTAGGTCACTTTAGTGCTGAACGAATCCACCACGCCTCTGCCTCCAAAATGAAATCCCTGTTTGTCATATTTCTTCCTCTAACCTTGCCCATATTCCCTTACAAATTCAGTGATTGTTCTCTGTCTAGTTTCTTCCTGCTGTGGTAACCGACGGGGAGACACCGCCACTGCCCTCAGACAGCTACCTACTCTCCCATCAGAGGTCACCCCTCCACCGGATCTGCACGGCCTGCGGCAACACCGGCCAGGGGTTCCTTCGCCATTGACTGTCTCCAGTGAAGGCAACATCATCACCACTTGCTGTGTGCTGAGTTTAAGGTGTTACTTTTGTTCAGGTCTGGTTGGGAGAGTCAGAAACATGGAGCAGCTTTTGGGCAAACACTAAGCAAGCTTATGTGATACTACTCTTGAGTGATACAATGCAGTGTATAGCAATAGTAGAGATAATATCGGCTGATACATATACTCTCACACTCTGTAATACCTGTCTTTTGCATTAGAGGTTACATGTTCCTCACCGTAATGACAGTACAAATTGGGATTTAAATGCAGTGCCTGTTTAAAAAGGGCAACCTGGTGCATGTAGCTCCCGCTTGCGCAGGGTCCAGGGAAGGGTCCGACCACTTTGGGAGCTTTTTTCTCTCTGCAAATGAATGTTCAATGAACTGCCGGTGAGATGCTGTGCCTGCCAGCAGTTTGTTTCTATTGTTTATTGCAAAGAACTTAGCAAAGTTGGTACTAGTTCAACATATCTCTTCTATTTTACATGCTCCACAAGTTGGCCACAAGAACAAAATGTTTCTACTGATTATATGCAACAAAACAGAAGCTTCTAAATACAGCACAAAGTATAACCCATTGAGAAAGATGCATCAATACCTCTATTAAAAGCAACAAGATACAGTTTAAGATGCAGTGCATTGCGAGTACCCTAATGGTACATTTTAGGAACAAGTGAAAAGAAAATGTGAGGCACACGCAAGACAAGAGTCCATCTTGATTCTGTTCAGGTTAGGTGTAAGTACATCATAATAAACAGGAACATCTAGACCTGTTTTCACTCCATACTAACAGGAACCATGTACAGATGGGGCAATTCAATCACAATCCTGCCTCTAGGGTGATTGCTGAGGGGGAACCAGCAACTGTGTCTAAGTTCAACCGGGAGGCACCAATCAGGTAAGAGTACGTTCCTGACATTGGTGCTTCGTTCAGAGATGTACCATGTTTCATAGGTTCCCAATCCTAATCGAGAGGGACCGCGGCAGGAAAGCAACCGCGGACACCAAACAAGGCAAAGCACTCCATGTCACAAACTCTAAGACAAGCTCGGTTACAAAATACTCCCTCTGTCCCAAAGTAAGTGTCTTAATCTTAGTACAACTTTGTACTAATATTAGTACAAAGTTGAGACCCTTATTATGGGACGGAGGGAGTACTACAGAGTACTGTATTTGCTAACCCTGAGAGGTGAGCTAAGCAGACGAAAAATTTCAGCAGATCTGACCTAGGGGCTCCCTGCTCGATTGAAAAGGATCAAGTCGTCGTCAGACTATGACAGATCAGATCGCGGCTACGGAAGGCGAACCTTAGCGGGCGGGGATCATCTGCCAATGGGTGGGGTCTTGGCCGTGTGCATGGAGGGATGGGCCATGGGGGTGGGAGGAGATGGAACAGAGCGTACCGGCGATCCATCGGGGAAGCCGGCGACGACGTGGACGATCATATGGGCTGCTGGAGCACTCGGGGTCGACCTCGCTGGAAGCGCGCCGGTGGTGATCCACCGCCGGCCTCGCGCGTGCCGGCGCCGCGATCCGAGCGAGGGAGGAAGCAACGGCGGCGGAGAAAAGGTCTTCCCCGCGAAACGCCGCGCTCCCTGCGGGGAAGTCTTAAGGACGTGTCTAATCGAACTCTAAAAAGCGCTTATAACTCCTTAAAAGATTTTCTTTGATTTCTTTTCAGGGCGCTACATGTCGAGCAGGTACTCGTCCCTATGAGCACACACTTGAGATTTTACAGAGTGCATGTTTGGATTGTGACCATCCTTACCAAACTATTTTGCCACACTTTGTCTCACTAGAGTTGCTCAAATTTTTAGTTACACTTAGCTTGCCTTAGCAAATCTTATAACACTTTTTGTATCTATGAGATGTGGATTTTAGAGCATCTACAGCCGGACCTCTCAAACCCGCCTCATATGGCCGAGCAGGCTGCCCGGTCAGTAACGATCACGTTTTTTTGACCCAAACGGACGCCTCAAACGGGCCTCAAACACCCGGGCTGACCGGCACCCCCCATATCCAGCCCGAATATGAACCGGATATGGGGGCGCCCAAGCACGCCCGCTCGTCGGACCCGACCCATGCTGGCCCACCCGACCCCACTTATATTTGTCCCCATCCTCTCGCCGGAGCAAAACCCTAACCACTTCACTCCACTCCCCTCTGCCACCCGAGCTCACCTCCGGCGGTTTCCGGCCTTCTCTGCCATGGCAGGCTGCGGATCGAACTCTGACCAGTCTGGATCCGTCGATTGGGGTGTCATCCCGCGTGGGTTGGAGGAGGCAATGGCAGTCCACATTGCATTCCGCTGCTCCAGGGAGGATAACGCCCGGCCGGCGGACGGATCCGTTCGTCGCGACGCCATAGCGTCGACTCACCGGGCGCTTGGGTCCTCTGGTGTTGGATCCTCGCGGTCCCGGCCGGAACACCTGTCCTTCCCCATCATCGGTCGGGCAGAGCATGAGTCCCACCGTGAATGGGCGGCCCGCTGTGGGAAGGAGAGGATAAGGGCCAAAGAGGCCCGTATCACGGCGGAAATGACGGCGACAAAGGCGGCTGATGCGGCGGCGCGGGCGACCGCAGAGGGGGGGAGCCGTTCGCACCCACATTGTGAAGAAACGACAGCGGAGAAACACGCGCGCCCTCGCCCGAGAGCAGAATCGGGCGGTCCGTGTCATGGCCGGACTGCCACCGAATGAGGACAGCGACGGGAAGGACAACTCCGACAACGAGCAAATCCGGCTCGATCCGTGTTGCATCTTCGACCGGTACATCGTTTCGCTTCCTTCTAAGGGGTTAAGCAACTCTCAAAACCTTTAACTCCTATAAAAAGGGGGGAGTGCTTGTTCGCTGGCTGATCTTTTAAAAAGACCGGCTGGGTTACCAGCCATCCAACCTGAGCCCATGATGGCAACAAGACCCTTGTTACAGAAAAATATCTTAAAACAAAAGCCTTGTTGCAAAAAAAAATACCCCCAAAAAATACTATAGCTCGCGATTGTGTTCGTCGAGATTGCAACAAGAGTTATGTTGCAATTGCAACATGACCCTTGTTGCAGTGTGACGAGGCTGCAAGGGAGGTAGGGCGCGTGGCAATGACGACCGGAGCCGGCCATGACGGTTTCCATGGTGGCGGCGACATCGCAGGGTGAGATGATCCGATGATGACGCATCGTTGGTGGTTGTGCCTTGCCAGATTCAGCAATGGTGCATCGTCGGCTACCGTGTCTGGCATCTGGCCAGATCTGGCGACGTCCCATTATCGGTGCCGAGGTCCGTGATGGTCAGAAGATGAGGTCTGCCATGGCGGCACCTAGCGTTCGTGGTTGGTTGCGAATGCGAGGAGAAGAGAGGTGGAGGAGGAAGGGAAGGGGCACGGCGGTGGACGTACGGCTCGCTGGTGACGATGCTCCCGGCGACTGGCCAGATGGAATAATGCGATGTGGAGTACGTTGCTTTCGATCCGATCGGGGGCATGGAAGACACTAGGTTGACTTTGTTTACCTGTATGCAACAAACCCTCTCTTGCGCTTCGTAGAATTGCAACAAGGGCCATGTTGCAGAAAGTTAGCCCATGGTGATATTCCCACCGGTCCATATCCTGAAGTCCTCAAAACTCAACAAAAGTCGGGACCCCCCGCCCTCGTGCAGTTCTCACAAGAAAACTCTAACCTACATACATAAACCGAATCATGTGACTAAAAATTATTTGCTATTCAAAAGTTCACGTCAACTTTGGTTATTATCGAAACCAAGGCAAAGTTAAATGGTTATTATAGGAACCTAGCCATGTCTATGTATAAAACCATATAAACCAAAGCATAAAAACCACATAAACCAAAAACCGAATAAACCAAATCGAAACAAACGGAAAAATACTGAATGCACACCCTTTACCCAATCCAAATACCACTTAAAAAACATCAAATCCAAATCACCACACAGTCCCTGTGACCCCCCCTTCGCACTCCAATCCATCACAAAGCACCCAAAATAGACCTTCCCGCTCGAATTCCACATCCCAAATTTTCGATTGCCGCACAAACTCACCACAAAACCACAAGGTCACACCTACCCACACGGATCCACCCCATCCTCGCGCCCAAATCCGACCGTCCATCAAATCCAACACCCCACACCCTGCCACCTCAACGATCCGAACCCCAGCCCTCTCCGCCAATCATGCCCTTCGCGCACGCCTATATATTCCCAGCCGCCTGTCCCCTCAAACCCACACCTCAAACCCTAAACGCAGATCTTCCACCTTTGCGCCGCCTCTTGCCTCTCCTCCTAGAAACTACCATGGCGCCCAAGGCCGAGAAGAAGCCTGCTGCAGAGAAGAAGTTGGTGAAGTCGGAGAAGAAGCCCAAGGTGGAGAAGCACGTGCCCGGGAAGGAGGGCGACACTAACAAGAAGAAGGCCAAGAAGAGCAATGAGACATACAAGATCTACATCTTCAAGGTGCTCAAGCAGATTGACCCGAACATGGGTATCTCCTCCAAATCAATGTCCATCATCAACTCCATCATCAACGACATCTTTGAGAGGCTCGCCGGCGAGTCGGCAAAGCTCGCACGCTACAACAAGAAGCCCACCATCACCTCCCGGGAGATCCAGACTGCCGTGCGCCTTGTCCTTCCAGGCGAGCTTGCCAAGCACGCCGTCTCCGAGGGAACCAAGGCCGTTACCAGATTCACCGTGTATTAGATCGCCACCAGGACTTTCTTAGTCTGGTTTGGTTTCTTCATTTGTCAACAAAAATATGGGGTTATGTTTCCCTATGCAAAAATGTAGAATGAGTTGGATTTGCTAATCAATAAATTATCCAATGTTTGTTTGAAATTTGCTTTTCTTTAATTTGATCTCACCAACCCTTTAATTTTTACCTCTTATATATTATTTGGTAATATAACCCTGTAATTCTGCCTTGGATGATCTCCTTGAATTAAACCTCCATGATTAATCTGTTAACGGAGGGCCCCCCTTGTAGATGTCGTGAGATATACCGGCTACATATTGTTGTATATGTGAAAAGTTTTTATTTGACCTGATATGTTAACATATTACTATTTATTTTTAGGGGAAAGATTTATGTGTGAGTTTTTAATACCATTAACTCATTATAATAATTTTAAACATCAAACCATATCTTTACCTCTTTACCTACTAATAAACCACCAATCGCTTCTGGTCGTCCGTCAAAAAAATTGCCCCCGAAGTTCGCATTAATTACCCACTACGCCACCGGTAAGTGAGAAAAACGGTTCGCTGTGGCTGCATCCGCGTCGCGTCTGGTTCATATAAAGCAACACTCATTGATATATCAAGTATACGTGACTAGCCGCTGGGTTCGAACCGTGCTCTCCTCCTTTTGTTTTTTCTTTCTTTTCTTTTGGCTGCACCACGTAATATTCAGTTAATAAGAAGAAATTCCCTCGCATAAAAACATATCATACATATGTGCTTCACTGGTTAGAGCCTAACTCTTTCAACTGGGAGACCTAGGTTGATTTTAGAGGAATTCATAAAAGTATTGATCTAGAGCTTGAATGTCTGAGCAACTCAACTTAATTGTTAAAACATATTATTATTTCTGAACATATAATTTCTGCGCTCCCTAATTGTTACAGAAAGGAGAATCAAGATCTTTGTTTATATGTTGGATACGATTGTTGGTATAATTTCGTGTGGTCCTTTTCTTTTGTCAGATTGTATTATATATACAGACTTCCATGATACATATATTGCTGTCGCTTGAAATCAACTACTTTTGAAAGAGGAACAGATGTATGTATTAAAATTACAGCTCACTAATCTGGCCGGATCTTGCATGTCCAATTCCATGCACTCTTCGGAGCAGCTCTCTCTGCCTCCCCAAGCACTTCTCTCTCCCCACCCTAGCTTGAAGACGAGCTGCACCCAGTCGGATGGATATAGCCAGGTACTTACGTGAGACTGGAATTTATTCCTGATAGATAGTTATTGAACTGACAACCATTAAAAGCAGCGCTGCGTACATATGGCATCTATAAAAGGCGTCTTCTCTAAGCTCTCGATCAGTATATCTATCATGTATTCATTAATCACTACTATATATATTAAATATACGAATCTCAAATGCCCAACTTGTTGCGTAGATGTCGTCCTCGCCTGTCGCCGTGTCCCAAAAAACCGCACCGCTACTCACTACTACTACTTAGAGGCTTAGATACGAAATGAATATAGTCGAGTAGGGCATTTTGGAGATCGAGCTCCATGGAGCCCTTTATTTTGAAAAATTTAAAATTCATAAATTTCATTTCAAAAAAATCTGGAAAAAATACACATGTATGAGAGGATGTAAAGTGTATGTGTGAAAAAATTCAGGATGAAATACCTTGAATTGTGAGCTGCTCCCCCAAAAAAAATCATGGACTTTAAAAATGAACAGTACATATGTTAGAAAGCCTTAGATTTGTCTTTTTTTGTGTAGCTCACATTTTAATGTATTTCCACCTGAAAATTTGCACACATGTACATTATGTATCTAGATATATCTGTATTTAATTTCAGAATTTTTTGAAACTGAAAATTTTGAATTTTGAAGTTTTCAAATAAAGGCCTCCATGGAGCTCGGTCTCCGTTTGGCATTTTTGCAACTTGATGAGGTTCTGAATTAACTTAAGGTAGTGTGCTTGCCTTTTTATGATATATGGTGTAATAAATTTGTCTCCTTTAGTATTTTTTGTACTAAATGAATATAGTTCTATCTGTTCCCTAAGGTTTTTTTTATTTCTGCTTCTTATATTGTGATAGCATAGGTGCGGCATATTCGTATTAAATCTGAAACATATGTGATCTTAAATTATTTTGGCATAATCTAGAATTTATTTCATGGGCTTAGTTTGTACTTTGCCATTCTATGTGAGAATAAGATGTATTTTTAATTATATACTCACATATGGTCATCTGATTAAGATTTGAGTATAAGCAAGCAATTGTCAAAGTTGTCATGAAAAACACTAGGCTTCTCATTACAGTGGATGGTAAAATTTCTTTTACACTGATGTTATGGGTGCGTGAAAGCGGTGTGCTAGAGTGTTATTACCAAGTTCATCATCTTATGATTCATCGCATTTGCCGTGACTAGATGGACAACTTGACCACCATCGGCGGCGGTGACCAAGAGGAAAAGCTGCAACGTGGATGTTGCAAAAAGGATGTGCGAAGATTTGTTTCTCCCGTTGCAACGCACAGATTTTTTAGCTATAAGAATTCATCTTCAAATGGTGTAGGAATCCACGAAATACCATTCCCTGGTTTCGTAATTTTGATATTCCTAAAACCTATTAGGATTTATGATATTTTAGAAAAAGAGAGGATTTAGGATGCATATCCGAAGGAGATGTGCATCTACCGTGTTCTTCAGCGGTTCTGATAGAGTAATTTTTCTAAATTGATTTGAGATGTCGAATATGCTTATACTTGTGGTTCGCTTCATGGTTCCCTGTAGAACTGAATGGAGAAAAAAATAATAATCAAACAGATTTAAGTTGCTAAATTATAATTAGTTGAAAAAGGTATTATTTTGTCTATCCATGCTTATGCTTCTTTTTTATCAGCAAAAGAAGCTGTGTAACAGGAAACTCCTTCCTCACATTGAGTGTGATAAAAAGTAGCATGGATCTTATTTTGTAATGTAAAATTTCAGTTTTAGTAGATTTGCATCTGTTTCAAAGGTATTGCTTTTCAGAGATAATTAATGATACAATTAAGGAAAATGCAAAAAAAATCTCCCGTTGCAACGCACGGGCATTTTTCCTAGTCCTAGTATTAATAAAGCGGCTATCGCTTCTGGGCGTACGTCATTAGCCATTTTGCTAAAAAGTCCCTGTTGTTTTGCACAATTAACCCGCAGTCACGATCTAAGTGAAATAACTGTTCCTCCGGGAAAAAAAGGTTCACCGCATCCCCCCACCCGCACGCCGGCGCTTGCATCGCCCCCACGGCTCCGCCTCGCTTGGCACCGGCCCACCTCGCCGCCGGCCCTCCCCCTCACCTTCTCCCACCTTGCAGCGCCGGCGTGTGCCAGATCCGCCTGCATCCCCCAGCCAACCATCCCTCTCACATCTCATCTCTCTCTCCATGCGGCTCCTCGCTGCGCTACCTGCCGCGGCTGATCCAAACGACGTCCGGCGAATCCCCACCACCACGAAGCACCGCTCGAGGCCCCCTCGCACTCGTGGCGCCCTCTCATACGACTAGATCCGGCGCTCGCGGCCAGTAAAGCTCACCGGCGACCCTCCTCCCATGGCTAGGGTTTCGGGCATCTACTCCGGCGCCGGTGGCCAAGTTGCCCTCCTCTCGTCCGGTGAGTGCATCCCCTCCCCTGGATTCGCCCTCTACCTCTCCCTTTCTCTAACCTCTGCTCTTCTCTTCCCCTGTAGACGTGGAGGGAGGTACTGTGGACAGCCTTCCTGCTGCTCGGGACGAAGTAGCCATGGAGCTTCCTCCTCCTCCTCTGGCTTCAGGTGAGTTTGTCCGCCGTGATCCATCTAACGGCCAGCGCGATGACCTAGAAAGTAGGACAGGGCCTGGACATGGTAGGTCACAAACATCCATCTATTTTGCCCTCCTGTACATATTTTGATGTTGGATCGGTGCTGTGTTTCAATTGCTAAGAAAGCAGAATAAAAGGGCTATGTTCTGTAGTTAGCAGCTGGACCTAGGCGTCTCCATATCATACCTCCACAAAGAAAATATCATACTAAATCTACTATTATGTCAGTTTGCCCATATGCACAATTTACCTTTTTCCTAACAAGTTCCGATCCTCACCCCTTCACTAGCTACTTACTCATGGTGCTGGTCAATGCACTCTATGTGGTAAACTGCTACGAGGCTCTATTCTTTTTCTTCAAAATAAATTACTTTAATTATAAGAGATGGAGTTTTTTCCAGGAATATTTGATTACTGTTTGGTTTGATCAGCTAGGGATACCATATTTTTGAAAAGCAATCAAAATCTGTTTCTGGGTAGATGCACTGCAAAAATACCAGCATCATTAGAACATAAAGATAGGGATGTGCTTAATAATTACCCTCACTGTCCTACTGATAGTTCTCTTTGTTCTTGCAAAGGTGCTTATTAATCCACTGAAACCATGTTATAAGATGCAATTGTTTTATCTCCTGAAAAAGCATGAAGATTTGTTTCTTTTAGTAATTAATTGAAACCACCTGTAAGCCTGCAATGAAGCTTCTATTATTTTTGTCTCATCAATTCGGTAGCTATTTTATGCAATATGTTTTACTTAAATTTCAGCAAAGGGAGCATCTATATTTTGACATATGAACTGGTCTCTTTTTCTTTTCTTGACGGAGCGCACCTGGGCTCTTGAACGGCATTCAATACCCTGGTCATATCCTCAAATTAAGCCAATCTCACCATGGGTCTTATTCGCTGCCACCACCGGCATGTTTCCAGCCGACCACCCAAAGACACTAACTTCATGCAAAATCGCATTGCAGATCGCAGGTGCAGCAGACTTGATCCCCTTAGATTGATCCCACACTTAGATTTGTCCGATGGTAATCCATGTCGTCATTAGCATGATGCCTTGCAAAGTGGGGCTGACCAGGGTAGTGTCTGTACACAGTGGGTCATAAGCCTCTGCTGCTTTGTCGTACAAGCTATGCTTTTGCTGATGCTGTGTGTTTCACTTCAT